TTTTGTAGCATTGTTTGTGGGTTTGCAAGAGGGGATTCCTAAGCTAATGCTGTTTGGGGAGCTATTGCATGGAAAATGTTGGGAACCCTTGCTCTAAACCATAATAACAGAAGAAACACAAACAGGAAATCACTCAAAACACAATAAACTAAAACGATTCACAGTCATGAGATCTGCTTTAGACAATTATGTCCACAAAGAGAGGAAATACAACTTTTGATTCAACAGAAAAAAGGACAGTTTCTCTTCATACATGAGTCCATCTGGGAGCAACTTGGGTCAATGAAGAGCCTGGTTGTTGAGGTTTTATTAATAGTGTAGAGTTAAAACCTGCATTCATTCCTAAACTTATTGTCAGATTGTCTCATGGACTTCCTGAGCTTATCCACTGATTTAATCAGCAAGTCATATTTGTTTATTAGTTTACTCCCTGAAGGCATGGAAATGAATAACAATACATATTTATTTCCAATCTAATCCCATGTGTACAAAGATTCCTCCAGATTTGCCACCAATTTATTCTCTAGATCAGTGGTTCCCAAACTTTTTATCTTCTGACCCACAAAATATCCATGGCAAAAACGTGTGACCCCAAATATCACTGGTCTGAATACACAAATTTTGTTAATAACCCTAAAAACAAAGGCTGCACAAATATAAATACTTATTTATACTTATTTTGTGTTTTTGTAATAATTATAGGGAAAATATTACCTACATCACCAATTATTTTATTACCCTTTAAATTGATTTCTGAAGTGTAGTGGTTCCCAAACTTTTTAGCTTTTGACCCACAAAATAACAGTAGCAGAGACCTGTGCCCACAACTATTTTTGAATGATAAACATTTGTATCAGGCCAAAAAAACACGAGCATAGTAACAAAATTTATTAGTCTACATTTGTACATTTTAGGTAACAACTAAGGCAAAAATGTAATTAATTTAGAAAATCTTTTCAGGACCCCACCCTGATGTTTCAGGACCCCACTTTGGGTCCTGACCCCAACTTTGGGGACCACTACTCTAGATCAAAGGTCTTCAAGGTTGTGGTCATGACCCCTTGTGGGTCCATGGGAGTACTGCAGGGTGGTGAAATTTTTACTTAGACTTTTTAATACATTTTTTTTATTTCAAAGTTATGTATTTAAACATTCAATAATATGAATACAATTTGTTGTAGCTAATTGATACATGCAAGCATAAAATAGGATATTTCAATCAGAAATGCACACGTTCATCAATTGAACTCTGCGTCACTCACAGCCTGACCCTCCTTGCTTCGTCTCTCCATAAGTTTGGGGGTCTCAGACTGAAAAAACCTTTACTAGATGATAAATTTTCTGCTAGAATAAAACTATCAATGCTGTTTATACCAAAATAAGGACATTTTAATGTGTCATGTTTTGCTTGTGCTTTCACTTTTTATTTAAAAACCAAACAGCGCATCTTGCTTATCCTAGAACGGAGTTATTTAAACTTGCCTCAGAAAACAGAAGTCATGATAACATACCCTATACCTGATGTCTGGGATTTGTCAGAACTTGCAAAACATGTGAATTTACATAAAYGGTGAAGAAGTGTTACAGTGATAGCACATTGTCAAATACGTGTGAGTGAATAAAGAGGAAGTCAAAGCTCATTTCAGGATGAATGCAATATCAACTTCATCTACAAAAGAAAAAAATCCCTAGCTCAAGATTTTGATTTTGACAAAAAAAAAATCTAAAGTTAAACTAATCTTCTACAATGTTTTATGCAAGTTCATCTTCCACATCTAAAACACCTTTAGGGTAGGATGGGCAAATTGCACCCAGTAGATGTGTGAAATGAATAACATTTTGCATTTTGTGTTAGAAGATTCAGAAAATGCTGTCTGCTTCACTGACGGGCATACACCCAGACATCCTTCTTCTCAATTAATTTTAATCATACTGTCTGTTTGCTCTGTCACCCCACATTTTGTTTGTGTTTTCAACCATTGCCAAATATGTTAAAGTTTTTCAATTTCCCAYTTCAAATAGTGTTTCTCCAAAAAGACATTTAAACAGTTTCTTCTCTTTCTGCCTTGGATATAATTGATTTCCTCAAGTCATTAGCTCCCAAGAGTTTTGGATTTAATCCTTTTTCTTTTCTTTTTTTTTCCCTTTTTTTCTGTTGCATTAATTACAAGTCCTATTTGCTGCTTAATACGTTAGATTATTCGCCTAAAATTTGTATTTTCCCAAAAGCATCACTCACTGAAGCCTGATGTATAAATATAAGTTTTATCTCCATAAGTTAAATTAGTTGTAGTAATTAGCATAACACACACATTCAGTGTCTTCCCAGAAGACAAACCCAAACTTAGACACACTGCTGAAATGTGCAAACAGACTCAGTGGATGCGCTCGATGGTGCTTTATTTAGATTTTATTCACCGCTTGAAGGCACCTTGTACATGAGCTATTATTGTTTTTTTCATTGTTCCTAAATCCATAAACAAATTATTATTGTTCGCTGCTAAGCAGCTGTCAACACACACAAAAAATAAAATCTCCAACAGGTTTCCCTCTTCCTCTTGAAACAGAACTGACTTCCCAGATTGTGTGATAATGTTTACCTGCAGGGCTGACCACAAATATTAGCAACAAGGTGTGATTCAAAAACCAATGCCAAGGTTCAAAGTGCTAATTTTCTGCTCACCTGTCCTGCTGTGAGCTGAAGTGCTCCTCAAATCACAGGATGGATGAGAGAGCGCCGTCGCAACTATCAGCAGAGCGCTGAAGTACAGAACAAGCAYAGGAATATCGCTTTCTAGTGTTTATCTGGGGTAAAAATGTCCATTGATCATCTGCCAGGGATCTTCTGTGTAGCCCTCCACACCCACCTCTAGGAACGTTCGTCACGCCTGCACGGCCGTCACAGATAGTTCGCAGATTTTCCATAATTTGCGAAGAATTCTCCGGCGTAGACAAATTACCGAGGCATCCTCACCTGTTTGCTTTGACGCGGGGTTAATGTTCACCTTCCACCATTTGTTGTCATCACATTCATTTCTCTGTAAAGAGTCTGCTTGGCTCTAATTCTATCTCTGCTTGATGGTTCGGGCAGCGGGGGTGCTCAGTAAGAGCACTTAGACAGAAAATTGCTGCAAAGATTTGGATCAAACATAATTATAGTGGTTGTTGAGGAGCCCTCCTTTGGACCAATCAGGATCTGCTTCATCTGACCTCAACAGGTCAGAAATGGTGTTCTGCTCAGCGTTAGACTGAATCTGTTCGAATAATTTTTAAGCKTGTAAAATTAGAACAGCTATTTTCTGCACACACAAAGACATATTTGTGCTATTCTGTAGAGCTTTAGCCTTCATATTTTATAATTTTACAAAATTTTACTGTTTTTTATTTTTATTTTTGAGAAGTTTTAAACTTGTGAACTCTAAAAAACCTTTTTTCCCCTGTTTTTCTCATCCTCAGTGTGAAAGCCAGGAAAGGCAGCGTTAATCACAAGCACAGGGTCGACGCTGGGGCTCATCGAAAATGTAGGCTGTGCTCGGCGCTCTTGTCAACACCTGTTTGTGGTTCTGATGGACACAGCTATTCCTCCAAGGTGAGAGTCGTCCAATTATTATATCTCAAAAAACTTGTTTTTACATATCTTTTTGTTCTACATTACATTTTATTTAGTTCTTAGAATGATAAATGGTAGCACATACAACAGTCCCTAAGGCACTTGCTAATGCACAACATTTGGCAGGTGTTATGTGCATTTCTGCTTTCCTGTGTTTATGACCCCAATTCTACCCAATTCCCCTTGCTTGTTGCAAGATCATTTCACTTTATTCTCCTGTGCTGATTTGATTTCAACAGATCTGCTCTTGTAGTCTATTGAAATGGGAACAAGAGACAGCRCTCAGAGGTCTTTGCGGTTTTTAAAAGTCATCTTTAGACAGTTTGGAAACGCTCTCGTTCCCCTCAACAGCCCATCTGACTCTCATTTCTAACCACTAACCCGTGGTTTATAATCTGCCCGTGAGCAACATAAACTCGAYCTCAGCCACAAACTCTCCACATAATAATAGAAAAGCCAAGGTTTAACCTCTGTGATTAGTCAGCGAGAAGACTGACAGCAGGGGATAAATATAAAGTTCTGCATAAAATTGAAGCTTTGTCCTTGATATAACACTCTGCATATTGTCACAGATCAAATTTCACATAACTGTCGTGGCCGTGTTTTCAGCCGTTTAGTTGATTGCTTCAAAGTGATGCAAATGAAAAGAACTAGACTACTTTGGAGTGCTGTGCACGTCACTCAAAAAGTAAGCTGTTGTCAATTGTTCAGTATTTGTTATCCATCRTTATTGTTCTTCGTGGATGTTACTCGAATGTTTCATTTTGTTCCTTCATTCCTTCACTTAGAAACTTGTTGCAGAGTAGTAAGGGGAGTCGTCCTGTAACCGGTGGGTTGCTGGTTTGATCCGCCGCTCCTTCCATCTCAGTCGTTGTCTCCTAGGGCAAAACACTTCAKCTGCCTTGCTTACAGGTGGGGCTCTGAGGGCCCAATGGCAACAGTGTGTGGCAGCCTAGCTTCTCTCTGTGTGCCCCAGGGCAACTGTGGCTACAATATAGCTTACTATCATCAGTGTGTGAAAGGGTGAATGATTGAAGRGTAAAGCACTTTGGAGTCCGTAGGGACTTGGCAAGGAGCTATAGAAATTCAGACCATTTACCATCCACTTATTAACTATATCACTCAAGTCAGGGTATGAAGTAACGCAAGATATTATTTCTTTCCCAAATGTGAACAATAGTTGCTTTTCCGTATTTCCACTACTGTYATGGATCCAAGTTTTCTAATATGAAAACACATGTTGTTCTTTACTTAAAAAAAATAAAGACTGTATGTAGACAAAACTCCTGCCATCTCTGTCTTGGTACACACGGCAAGATAACTGTGCCAATTTTTGACCCAGTTTTGCCTTTCTGGCAGTCTTATGGATGTTTTGATTATGGTGATGGCTCTAAACATAATGCTGGGAGATTCCTGCCATACTGCTCTGACCTCAAATCGGGGATGTTGAACATGTTGGATTGTCTTGGCCCAATACACGGTGTTCCCCGAAGACAAATGAGCTCGCAGCCTGTTGAATGTGATGTGTAGCCAGTCAGAGAGCAAAGTGATGCAAACCCAGAGGGGAATCTAAAATACAGAAGACAAACCTATTGCCATGGTGCACCAGAAATTCTAGAGGAAGTCGGAGATGTCTTTTAGTTTAGTTTTTTTTTTTTTCTCTAAAAATAGTCCCCAAACTATCGTCATTGCTTCTTCTTCGTCTGCCATGTTTATTTACTCTGAAATCATGTTTTATCCCGAGAGGTTTTGTGAAATTTCCCGTCTGACATCTGAATGTTTGTGAGTGAAATCCGCACATGTGTGGCATGTTGTATTTGCCGTGTGGCTGCACACCACACACTGTAGAACCAGACCTGTTAAATCCATGTTATCTTCCTGTGTGGAGTCTCAGTCTTTGAAAATTAACAGATAATWTGAAAATCTTCCCGTGTGAARCAGACATAACCACGCACTATTTGCAAGTCAGTGGGTTTTGCTAAGATTATACTCAGTAAGCTGACTAACTTCAAAACCAGCCAATAATATTGTATTTTTTCAAGCCTATGCTTTGAAGCATTGTATAGCAACATGTTCACTTGTAACACATGACCATGTGTGTGATTTGTTTACAAGTAACATAAGCAATATAAATGAAAATGTAGTTTATAACTCCAGCGATTACAATCTTTTAAGGGTGAGTTAGCCATGGTGGATTTTGAGGTTTAGAGCCGATAGAGAATCTTTGACTTTCAAAGTCAGATTACTGTTTTTTTGGGAGCATTCCTGTTGATTTTTCTGACTTTTAACTCAAAAGTTCCAACTTCTTAGTACAAGTCTAATGCAGCAAAAGCCCCAGGTTTTCAGTTGTCTTGTGTCAAATAGTTATGTCTGAACAGTGTTTCTTTCTGAATTACCAGCTTTCCTGCACCAGTGACAGGAAATAAACAGTTTTCTCAGATGTCAGGTGGTAGAGACGTCTTTGCCATCGTGGTCTCAGTTGTCATTCAAGCCTTCTTTAATAGCACATCAAACTGAAGGCTTTATTCCTTCAGGCACCACAATGGTTAGATTTTATGATTGAGCCATTCACCCACCCCAGACCTCCACTCACACCTTTTTATACCAGAAGTGRAACTGAGAAAGGTTCAGCTATTTGTGGACGTGGACCTCCTTAATGACCTGGCTGCCTCGGAGAAGAGAATGTGCTGAAGAGAAGTGTAAAAGAAAAAGCGAGAAAGAACAGAAGAAAGGAGGAGGGCTGGGAAATCCCTCCATTCTCTGTGGTAATTGAGGTGGAGGGGTTCGGTTTAGCTGGTGTGGTGATGGCTCCCTGTGGCCCAACTTAAACTCTCCTCACCAGTGAACTGCCGGTCTCAAGCTTATTCATGTTTTATTATCACATTACATGCCTCCCTCATCAGAACCACASACACACTCACAAACACACACCCCATATCCTATTAAAAGGACAGTGCTCTTATCTCCTGAGAGACTTCAGTCCACTAACTTAAATCCATTACTTCCCTCCTGCTAAATCATCTTTTCTGCTCTCCCGTTCTTTACGTAAGCGCTCTCTCCWTTTTTTATTACTACTCAGCCATGTCAGGTGTTAAAATACTGTTTCATCAAAACCACATTAACCAGTGAAAAGGGCCAAACACAAAGATTCATGGGGATTCTCTGAGCACTGACAGTGATTAGGGGAGGTCATCCATTTCCTGGATTTTCTCCCTCTTTCTCCGCCTATAGCCTTCCCCCCCAGACAGCTAATTCAATATGTTGAAAACAGAATGAAGCGCTGCTCCTTTTGTCAACAAATTTCATTAAGTAACATTAGCAGRGCTGTCAAAGAGGTGGCTGGGAGGGAATGATGGATTTGGATTTAAAAAAAATGTCGGAGATGAGAGTGTTTGAAGGATAAGGCGTGATAAGGACAAACGCAAAGACGTTTATGCGCAGTCATGGTCTCTCTTGCAAATCTTGTCGTCGTCATCTTGCAAACAGAATTTACATAACTCATTTCACTTTTCATTATTCCTCTTGGAAGAGTCTTGTAATTGGATTTTTTTTCTTCTTCTTCTTCTTCTTTCAACAAGTCCAAGCAATCCCCCTCACACTTACCTGAAATCAGATTTGTACTGGTAAATTACATTCAGAAGTAGTCAATCTCTCTCATTTTTTTTTTATTTTTTTGTGGCAACAGCTTTGTACTGCAATAAATCATAAAACGTCACTGGGCATCTTTGTGTATACTGCTGCCTAATGGACACATCTGTTCACTCGAAGACAAATGACCACTCCCGTCTAAGGAAGTCTTTCCCTTAATCAGCTCAACTCAAAAAGCTCAATATCCATGTTGTTATTTTGGAACAGAAACCTTCTAAACAGTTCCACCCTGTAAATGAGCTGTCCAGAATAAATGATTCTCATCTGTGTTGAAATTTTGTTTCATTTCTCAACATTTTTAAAAAATGTTGGTGCTTTTTTGCTGTTTTCTTAAGCCGCGCGTCAGAATGTTAGTGCACAAAATGATGAATGAGTCCGATTTGGAGCTTTTAACATTCATCTGCTAAAAGCACAATGCTTCTATTAGTTCAGCAAATAACTCGTTTCACGCGGTGGGCGTGCAGCGGTGGGTCTTTGACAGGTCAAATAGCTGGGAAGCCAAAGCTGGTGAAATATTGTACTTGAAAGTAAAATGTAGAAAGTTGAAGTCACCCACAATCTCTAATGGGAGTACACTGGTAATGGGGTTTTAGTAAACAGAAAAATYCGTTTCCAGTGACTTGGCTTTGCCTTCATTGTGTGTTTTTTGACAGAGGAATGTTTTTTTTACTAACTTCAGCAGCATAGTTACTCACAAGAACCTATGAAATACAAGTTATTAAAAATATTTTACAATTTTGAGATTCTGACATCATAAATTACACATATTAATAACAAATGACCTAAAATTAGACAAAAAGGCCTCAAAACAAAAATAAAATTGCCTTGTTAAATATTTTAGCAGGCTTTACACCTCCAAAAATATTCATATGTAGGTTATGTATCGAGAGAGGCATGGAAAAAAATTCAGCCATCTCTTTGAGAGCAGCATGAGTCGCAAAATGGCTCGTGCCGCTTGTTGTGTCACATACATCAAAATGTGTCCAAGTATGTCTTTTTAGGGCTTTAAGTTTCAAAATAATCTCACTCTTATCATGGTTGCATCCATTTTGCTGCATAATTTTYGCCAATAAAGTTTGTATTTGATTTGTCCTCTGAAGCAACAAGCAGCTCACAAGTCTCCATAAAAAAAACACCAAAAGTTTAAATCCAAAAGAATTCCGGCTATGATGGTTTGACTTAAGGGGGACACGAGATCAAAATCCACTTTTTTTTAGCCATTAAATACATTTTGTTGTGCACTTGGAGTTTCTGGAAGTGCAGAAAATTTGAATTTAGTCTCTCCAGGTGYAGAGCTGGGTCTCGGTCGGGTTGTTTGATCTGCACCTGGGTTCTCATGAGTGTATTCACACCTGCATTAAAGGTCCTTTAAAAATGAGACAAAGGTGCCTGAAAAACAAATTAATAAAATTACCTTGTTAAATAATTAGGTAACAGTCTTTGTACCTCCAAAGATAATTGTGTGTGAAAAACACTGCAGGTATCTGTGACTCATGAGGTGATGCAAGAAACATGGAGCCGATGTTTATAAAATTATAAACATGTTTTCATGTTTTGAGCGGAAGAAGAGAAGAAGCATGTCTAAAATTGTTTTGTTTTTGTTTTCTTACTGGGGCTCAGCTGGAGCCCCAGTAAGAAAAACAAGATCTGAATAAGACTGTCAGGTGGGAGTGGCACAGTAGGGGGCTCTAATTGATCAAAACTTTAAAACAACTTGTTTTTGCAGCTCTTATTATTTTATGTATGTTATACAGTATATCTGTGTAAAATGGATGAATTTAAATGAAAATATTTTTTTTTAAAATGCTGCAAAACTCAAACATGTTTTTGTCAAATTCAGATCAGAAACAATAATGGTCCTAAAAGGATCACTTAAATAAATGGTGTCTTAAGCTCCAGAGATAAGGGAACATACTGTATTTTTCTCAGACGTTTGCAGGTTCAATCTCCAACTTGATCAATAAATATAACTAAACTTGCACAAGATTCTAAACCCATCATTGAACTCCAGGCTGTTTTTTTATTTGCTTTAGATAAAAGCCTTTCTTAAATAACTTTGACATTTGTGGTACTCTGTCTATTTTTTTTCTTCATTGAAAATACTGTAATACTGTGAAGATGTTTCAATATTTGATCCGTCACAGCTCCTAATCACAGTGTAAATTAAATTAGGTCTCCTCTTTTTGTTGCAGTGTAAGATGGATTTCCAGAGCTGTTTGTCTGGGAAGACCATCTCAGTTAAATGTGACGGACTGTGCCCCTGTTTGCCTGGTCATGAGTACAGCCAACCATCCCACAGTCCAGAAAAGGCTGGTAAGTACTGCCTGATCACCGGTGGGCAATCATGTATTGGCTTGTGTCTGTGTGTTCATTTGTCTGTCAACATTTCTTATAGATCACTGAATGGATTTTAAGGAAAATCTCAGAATATAATTGTTAGATTTACATTTATATTTAGMTAACTTTTGGAGTCGACTTTTTTAAAGATGGCTGCCTCAGCTAATCAACCTTAGCATATGAAAACTGGGAATAACTC